TGGCTGGGGGCCCCTCCCTGGCTGCACTCCCCGAGGCCCCGCCCAGCAGCAGGGGCTTGCTCTCCCCCGTGGCCCTGGCTGGGTGGGAGGGGCCAGCTGGGCAAGCACTGCCCGTGCGCCTCTCCTGCAAGCACTCTGGAACCGCTGGCCCCCATCTGGCTGATGGCGACAGCCGAGTGATGGAGAGTGCCCACTGCCGAGTTCAGAAGTGCTTCACTGTGCACAAGGCCACATCTCACCCCAGAACTGGCCCCTGCCTCCTTGGGGTTCGCTGTACTCCAACCCTGCCCTTCTCACTGCTGCGCCAACACCACCCAGACCCACATCTACCCTCGCCCCCCCCCCCCCTCCCAGGCGGCCCTTGTCAGAACACGGTCAGGTTCTCCCAGCCTCCCATGCTCCATGCACTCTCGTCCCTCCCTGGGGGCAGCCCCTGCTGGCTGCCCCCTCCCCTCCAACCAGGGGCAGGTTCAGTGGGGAGCTCTGTTCTGGAGGGAGGGGTCGACACATCTCATGCTCCTCTGGGCGGCTGGCTTCACCCAGGACTTCTGCCACTCTCGTGGTGACCGAGCCTGTGCGGTGCTGGGTCGTCTCATCGCCTGGCGTGTACTTCCATGCAGCACACCGAGGGGCTGGGCTGCAGCAGGGTGGAGACCAGCCATGGACACAGCAGAGCTCCGCCTTCAGATCAAAGTCATTTGCCTGCCCATGGCCTTGGGCCTTGGCTCTCCTGGTGCCAGCTCTCCCAGACCAAGTAAAACGACCCAGAGCCGGGGTGAAGAAACTTGACTAGGGTGGATGAAGTGCTTCCTGCACGTGAAGGTCAGCTCACTTTCGAACACAAAGACCCCAGTCTCATTCCCTCGAGAGGGGAATTCCGGCTCTGCCCACCGCCTTCCCCTCCTGTATTCGAAGGAAAAGCAGTTTGCAACATCAGCAGTGAAGGTCTGCCCGAGCGGGCCTGACCCGGGCTGAGCCGGACGTGGCTTCTTCACGGGGCAGCAGGGCTGAGAAACAAGTGCACCTCCTCTGTGCACACACACGGTGTCTCAGAAATACTTTACAAATGAACCCAGGGCAAGTCTGGACACACAGAGGTGCAGCGGTGGTGCTCCGCCCCAACGGCGCCCGTTCCCCTTCCTCCTCTCCACCCGGCTCAGGCCCTCTCTAGCATCACTGTGGTTCCTTTACACTTGGCTTTTATTTGAAAGTCAGAGGTATGCATAGAGAGGAGAGGCAGAGAGAGAGAGAGAGAGAGGTCCTCCATCCAATGGTTCACTCCCCAATAGGCTGCAATGGCCAGAGCTGCGCCAGGAGCCTCTTCTGGGTCTCCCACGTGGGTGCAGGGGCCAAAGGACTTGGGCCATCTTCTACTGCTTTCCCAGGCCACAGCAGGGAGCTGGATTGGAAGTGGAGCAGCTGGGTCTCGAACTGGCGCCCACATGGGATGCCGGCGCCTCAGGCCAGGGCATTAACCCGCTGCGCCACAGCGCCAGCCGCCTACACTCGGCTTCTTACAGGCTTCTGCTGTTGTTTCAGCACAATCCTTTCTTCTGTCCCCACTCTTCAGAATTCACACGGAAATGTCACTCGCTCTTGATCAGCGTCTGCTGCTCAGTGCTCCGAGGTGGATGCAGGCACCGCTGTCTTATTTCTTATAAATTCACCCCACCAGCCTTGAAACACAGCACACACGGCACTTGCGCTGCACCTAACACTTGCTTTGGTGCAGTGAGCACGGCTCACACCCGGACTGCGCGCAGACGGCCTAAGCCCACGTGGCGACGAGGCGGGAGGACGCGGAGGTGCCGAAGTGGCTTCTCTGAGGACTCCTTCAGGTCTGTGCACCACTGCCGCCACCGCTGAGCTTCAGGGACTCAGGCAGCGCCCGAGCCGTCAAGAATGACGCGAGGAGCTGCTTCCTGTTCCAGCTCTTGTTCCTTACAACCAAGCGGGGTCGGTCCTGCTTGGTTTATCCAGGAGCCGGCTGCAGTCCGTCCCCACGCCCCTCACACCATCGGTGCCTGTCTGCACTGACACGGGGGCTGCAGTGTGCATGTCCAGACAGGTGCACACGGCTGTTCTTCACGCCTTCCTGGGGCGCTCAGCCTCCATGTGCTCAGGTGTCCCTCTGGGTGCTCAACACCCCAGCTACGTGTGGCCAGGGTCTCAGGGCAACCTGACCACATGCATTTCTGTTCCTCCAGTTGACTCTGGGCTGCACTTGGATCTGTGTGGCAGCAGGAAGGAAACAGTCCTTGGTCACCAAGCCCCGCGGGAGGGGAGGACACAGCTCCTGGCATGGCCAAGCAGGTGCCATGGGGTTTTACACTGACTGTTAGTTCATCTGCTGTCCACAAGACTCCTCTAGAGATCCACCTGTGACCACGTGCAGAGAGGACACGGTGCAATGACCTTCTCAGGACTGCTCCGAGAGCTTGGCCCTGCCTCGCTCCAAACCCAGCTCAGGTGCACTGTGCATGTGCGCCTGCGTCGCCGGGGCGTGAGGTGAGGGATGGAGCTGACTCACAGGGCTCCTGTCCAGCCTGAGTACGGAGGGAGCAGGTGTGCACCAGGTGAGAATCAGGGTGCTTCTCTGGGCGGTGGGAGGTTACACTCTGGAGGGTCGTGAATGGGGTCTTCGGATGTGGGCTTACCTGACGGGTGAGCTGAAGAGGAGCTCTGAGCAGAGAAGGCAGCAGCCACACTGCCCTCAGGGGAGCTATGGCAGCCACCTGAGGAGGGACAGGAGCAGAGGCCTCTGGGAGGCCACAGGGTGATGGGTGCTGTGTGCACACCTGGCTCCCCTGCTGCCTTGGCTGAGGAAACGCAGTGTGACGTGAGGCACGGCAGAGAAGGCGGGCCCAGCGCTGCGGTGTGGTCAGCCACGTGCTGCCCTCACTGCCTTCCCTTGGAGGGCTCTTCAGCAGTGTGGGCGCAGCGGCAGGAGGGCCCAGGGCTGACACGGGGCCTCTGTGGGTGCTGCAGGGCCCCTGAGGGCTGGGGCAGGTAGCACCGGGCCGACTCGGGTCTGCAGGGCTGGCTCCCTCGGCGGGACGAGGTGTGCACCAGGTTCTCATCACACAAGCCATGGTCCAGAAGCGGCACTGCCTGTGAGTGAGCTCTCCGGCCGCCTCTCCCGGGTCGGCTTGCACGGTGAACCCGGGGTGGCACAGCCGGGAGACTCACTGTGAAGCTGCCAGGCAGCAGGCTGTGGTGCTGTTACAAATCCTCTCCTGGGCCCCAGCCCAGTCCTCCGCGAAGCCCGCCCCCCCCCGCAGGTCATGGCAGCTAGGGCACTGCCTGGGTGGCACAGGCTGCACCGTAACGCTCCCAGCCTCACTCCCAGCTGGGCTCGGCGAATGGTGGCTTCTCCCAGGGCACAGCATGCCTGCTGCGTTCTCCTCCAGCACCCCGGGCTCACCCACAAGAACCTCCTGGCAAGCGGGTTCCCAGGTGGGACCGAGGTGGCCGTGGCATCTGGGAAGGGAGGGTGGGGCTCCGGGACTCTGTTCTACAGCCACAGCTCTCCAGACCAGCACTGTGGGATGAAACCTCCTGGTCACGTGTTGCAGAGACAGGGGTCCGAGTTGGTCTGTGCTTCTCCTCCTGCCCAGGCTGCTCCCCGACAGTCCTCCCCGCTTACCTGGGGCCTGTTTACCACTTTCCCCAGGCCGGGCCAGGGTTGGGCAGCCTGCCAGAGGGTGGGCCTCTCCCAGGGCCATCAGCATGGCAGCTCCCACCAAACAAGAACCACTGCCAGATGCAAGGAATGGCGCAGCGCAGACTGCTTATCCCGACTTTCAGCATCAGTTCCCCCATTCTGCAACTACGGCTACAAGGGAAGTTTCAGAGGTTGTAGGACTGGAGCAGGCACACTGCTCCCCTTGGGCACCTGCAGGTCCCAGCCACTCACTGTCCCCGACCCACAGGCGGCGTCCAGGAGCACCACGGCTCATGGTTGGCAGCTGAGGCTGGGGGCAATCCCAGGCTGGCCAGGCTCTGGAGGGTGCATTCTTCATACCCATGCTGTGTGGGCAGAGGCCTCCCTGCTCCAGCACAGGGGCCCCGGGAGTCCTGGGAAGCAGCAAGAGGCCCCACGGGCCAGGTCGTACTCTGTCCCACTGTGTGTTCCTTGTTGGTACCCACGGGCAGGTAGTGGGGAGGAGGCGGTGGGTGTAAAGTGGGTGTGTGTGCACACGTGTGTTGGGGGTGGAAGAGGAGTGGGCTAATTGGTAACTTAGAAAACGGGCTGAGAAACCTCTCATTCCTGCTCCACCGCCATCCACGTGGCCTCTGGACCTGCATCTCAGGGACCCCGCTCCGAGCGGGACCTGTGGCTGTCAGGTCCTGGTGCTTCCACCGCCAGCTGCCATGGCCCAGCTCTAGCACGCTGCCAGCAATCTTAGGAGACTGTGGGTGAGGAAAGAGCTGCTTCAGGCTCACCCTGCAGGGAGGGCACTGCCACCCTGGGACTCACAGAACGAGCAGGGGGACGCATCACCCCCGGGAACTTCCGTCACTGAATGTGCCTCCGTGGCACTCCCTGCAGAGGGCACAGGCAGCAGGCCCTGCTCTCGGCGTTACCAAGACCCTGCCTGGCTGGACGCCCTCTGCCCAGCGCACACGCAGTGTTCTTCCCCGCGAGTCACCAGGGAGTGTGGTTCTTCCTGGTGCAGGCCACACTCTTCCGACTGCAGTAGGACAGCGGCGGCCCTTACAGTGCGTCTTCAGTGAGAATCTACACAAACTCACACCGAGCGTTGCAGTGAGAATCTACACAAACTCACACCGAGCGTTGCAGTGAGAATCTACACAAACTCACACCGAGCGTTGCAGTGAGACTCTGCAGGAGTGCGCACCTCGAAATGGGCTGCCTAATCATGTCAGAGCCACAGGGCCGACAGTCACACCCGAACCCAGGGTCGCGCCCGACTGCCTTGGAATATCTTCCCCACCACTTCCTACATTTGCAGAACTAAAACTAAGTTCACAGGCACCTGGAGGAAGATCCGGCCGATGCCACTCAGCAGCTGCGGCTCCTGCTCGGGGTGACACTTGGCGACCGAGCGATAGGCGTCCACGGCGAGCACGTAATCCTGCAGGAAGAAAAGCCCAACAGTGCCACTCAGAGCTGCAGCTGGGGACAGCGCGAGCGGCCCTAGGGGCTCATGTGGGGATGCAGATTCGGAGCCAGCGTTCTAACGTCCTCCTGTCACTGAAGGGCCACCAGGGGCTCCTGGTCTTTCGGTCAGGCCCGAGGGCTGGCGTCCGCTCCGAGCCTCTAGAATGCATCCCATGTTTCCCTTGCCATCTCCCCTCCTCCTCTCAACGCGGTGGAGTGGACTGCAAATGCAATCGTCTCCACCCTCCAAACACACACGCCAGGTGTGCTAAGTGTCTCTCAGTTGAACATTTTCCCTACTAGAGACTGGAGTAAAATCCTTATAGGTGACAATCCAGCCACAGACAAAACACCGTGGCCGAGAGACCGAGCATACACCTGGAGGTCGCCTTCCTCAGGAAGTCACCTGCTCACTGCTCCGCAGCAGCCACACGGTAGAGGCGTGGCCCGGCTGCTAGGCTCGGTGCCTGCACGCCGCACGGCGCCCCTGCCTACGCCCCCACTCAGGCGTCTGTGGTGCCGGCCAGGGCCCTCCTCTGGCCCCCACCATCTGTCCCCAGGTCTGGCTGCCCACTCGAGGGGGAGAGAGCTGGAGGAGCTCCTGTCAGTCACACGGGAGCCCCAGCAACGCTGAGTTAAGCAGCAGGCTCCTCGCGGGGTCTTCCCTAACTCTTCCTCACAGGATCCTAGAAGGGGCTCTTATTCCCGATTCTTTTACATTTTCAGTTTCTCCAAACGGGGACTGGAGTCACTCGCTTGCTAACTGGGGTGATATAGACAGACAGCAAGTAAAACTCCAGCTTGGCAGGAAAAAAAGCAGGACGTCTCTCTGGTCCAATCCCTGTCAGCTCATTAAAAACAATTTCATCCCAGCCTGATGCTCCCTGGGGCCAGACAGCTCCAGGCTTGGTCTCTTGCCCCACAGCTCCCTGCTGCCTGGCACAGCGGCCTGGCCGTGCACACACCGTGAGGCACTTCTGCCCCAGGGCCGGCCATCCCTGAGCAAAGTCAGGGCCAGCACTGGGGCTGGGTCCTGCTGGGAGAGGTTCAGGGAGCAGCCCACTCAGGACAGGGCTCATCCCAGTGGCTGCGCATGCTCCACAGGCCAGCAGCAGCCTACCCAGACCTCTCTGGAGGTGCAGGGCGGTGCCCCTGGAGCATCGGTCGGGCCAGGAATTGTGGGTTCTGATCTGGGCCCAAGCCAACAAGGGCATCCTTTGACCTCTGGCTGCTGTCCCAGAAGTGTCAGTGGGCCATGCATGGTGCAGGAGCCTCAGAGGGCCCAGTCCTGAGGCCCATGGAGAGCCCAGGTGGGAGCGTGGCAGGCTGGCCACTTTCTGTGTTCGGGAGCCAGGGACCCGTGTTTCCCAGGGTGACCTCCTGACAAGACCAAACAATGACCCGTGACTGGCAAAAGCCCTTGGCGCTGACCTAGTCCCATGCTGCTCTTCTAGGAGCAAGCCGCTGGGTGGACAGCAGGCTTCAGAGTCATGTACAGCGGCTGGATTCCAGGCCAGACGGCCACATGGTGAGGAGCTGTGCCTGCAGCGTTAGCGACCTAACAGGTCTGGTCCCTCAGCGTGGACGGCATGCCTGCCTGGAGGCTGACGTGGCTCCCGGAGCCGCCATCACACACACCAGATGGGAATGAAGGACTGCTGGACAGCTGCTTGGTGTTATTATTCAGTTAAATTGTTTATTTAGGAGGGTGCCAGAAACACAGCCCTTTAGAGATGCTGGCCACGGGGAGCTCTTCTGAGTGCTCTCTCCAGACCACAGGCGTCTGGCTGTAGGCCGCTCACAGGGACGCGCCTCTGGCAGCTCGGTCTCCACTTCCTCCCCACAGCAGCGACACCTGCTTGGAGGCGGTGACACCAGCCACGGCCCTTCCTGTGTGGCGCAACTTCAGCGAGAAAGGACAGCCACACAGCCACGCTCCCTTCAATGAGAGAGGAAGACAGGGCCAGCAGAGGGCTGGGTCACCCGGAGGGGCAGCATGGCTGGGCCCACCTCGAGTCATGCTCGTGTGGCTGGCCAGCAACACAGAGCGGCTTTGCCACACAGGCAACGGTGCTTTATAGAGCATTACACGACTATTTGGAGCTAAAAAACAGGAACAGACTTCTCATCACTAAACTGTATTACCACTCACCTTCACTGCAATGGAAATGCAGTTCAGAATACTTAAGGGGCCGATTAAATGACCCACGGCTCGTCCACATCCATAATTTAATTATAGGATACCACCCCCACCCCCCACCACGTACCAATTCCAGACACCTCTGCAATACCGTGCATGCTCACTAGATGGCAACAGAATGCATGTGATTGGATCAGCCTTAATTGCAAAAATTTTTCACTTTTTTTTAACTCGTGAAAATGGAAGATTAAACTAAACTTCCAAATTAAATTACATCCATTGTGAAAGTATTTTTGAAATACAAGGATATGTTCCGTACTGAGTCTCAACAAGATAAGGAGAAGCCTTATAGTGCTGCCTGGTGTTATTAACACAACCCAACAAAGAAAAGCATTTTTATTCCCCAATTTCCTATTAATGCATCTTAAAATTGCAAATAAAACCCACCAGTGAAACAGATCTAGCCTCTGATTAATGAAAGGCCAGTCCCGTGAATTTACACCGTACCCTTCATTGCTGGCTAACAATGTTCTGGCAAGTGGTGCATTTCAGGTGAAGCTGACAGTGGCCTGGTAGCAACAGCCTCGCCGTGGGTGGCTGGGCTGCCAGGTGGGGCCCGCTCTGGAAGGCACAGCGGACAGAACCCAGTGCTTTGGGGCCCCCTGTTTATTGCCAGCGTGAGGGTAAGGAGGGAGCAACCTGTGCCCACTGCAGATCCAGGAGCAGGAGTGAGGCCTGCTCTGGACGGAAGGCCCTGCTGGCCAGGTGGAAGGGCACAGCAGGAAAAGGAAGAGGGCAGGGACCCGCGTGACCGCAGAGGCCACCAGCCTCATCACAAGGCTCTCAGAGGCGAAGCACCCACACATAGCACCCTCTTAATCTGTGCCCTTGTCTATGTGCCGAGAGGCAGAGCTGCCATGGACTAGGGCGTGGCTGGGGCTCACAGGCCAGAGGCTGCATCAGGTCACCTGCTACAGGGGACGAAGGCGATGGTCTGCTGTGTCCAGCACCACCTCCTCAGAGGCGCAGAGGAAGGGCAGGCCCAGCAGCTGCTGGTCTCCCTGCTGGCTCCATGTGGTTATGGATCTACAGCCGCACTCAGCCGGCACCCTCCCTGGGTTGCTAAGGGACAAGGTTTAAACTGGGGCTGCCGCATCAGGGTTAAACGGTGGCCCCCACATGCTCCCCTCCCCCCAGTAAACTTCTGCTTCCTGAGCTGAAAATCCAGCTCCTGCATGACCTTGGGCAGTTGGGGAGGAGTTATAGCCCGGAAGGTGTTAACAGCACGGCTCCTGGGCGCCTGCTGCTAATTGATTTCTGCCGCAGCTCCGGACCCCTGTGCCCAGGGAGGGGAGGAGCAGGCGTGCAGTGCATTTCAGACAAAGGCGGGAGACACCGCTGCTCTGGATGGGGAGGGCCTGGCAGGAGCCAGAGAAAAGCCTGGGAACAACTAACGACCCCGAGCTCGGCGCAGCTCCTCCTGGCTGTTTCCTCGGTGCGGGGAAGCCCTGGGGTGAGCCCCGCGGGAGGCGGTCTCGCGGGAGCCCGTCTTCAGATGTCAGGAAGGACACCCTCCTCTGGGCAGGGAGAACAAAGGACATCTTTCTGGGATGGACTCAGACAAGACGGGGTGGGGGGGCGGGGGCGAAGAACGGGTTTAATCAACTCAGTCAGACCGTGTCTGCACAATCACGCTGGCGCCGTGCATTCCACATTCTGCTGAATTCCTTTCAACAGACGTGAAGTGCATTTCGCCCAGCAGTGTGCCGCCGCGCTCTGCTCTGGTAAACCGCCTGCCACCCTCTTCCAGAATATACGGCAGCACCGCCCACGCACCTTCATGAGCAGCAGACAGTTCGCCACGGAGTACATCACCCGGCCCAGACGCGTCCTCCAGAGCTGAACAGAGGCTGTAAGACAAGGGCGCACAATGAGGGCTCTTGCTGGCCATCCATTACCGGGTCCTGCGAATGCCAGTGGAAAAGCTCCCTCGTTAGTGTCAGCCAGTTTCAGCCTGGAATGTTTAATGCGCCGTGAGCCCATGGGAGACAGCGAACAGCACTCCCACCGGGACAGCCGCAGTGGGCTCTGGGAAGGGACCGTGTGCACAAACGACGCCACAAGGAGACCCGGCAGGGCCCCGCTCAGCCTCAGTTTAGACAAATGGTCCAGGGATGCAGCCAGGAGCCGTGTCTCCAAAGCCAGGGCCTGAGAAAATGGGCAGATGTGAGGTAGCAGACACACCTGCCTGCAGCCGACTCGCTGGAAGGGCCCCGCCCAGGCAGCTGGGCAGCCCTTGGCAGCGGGAGCACACCCAGACCAGTGGCACCCCCAGGGCAGGTGTAGAAGCACCTGGGTCAGGACACGGGGCTCTGCTTTAGTTCCCATGAGCCTCAGCAGCCACTTCCTCACGGCCGCTGTTCTTGAGTCTGGGAGGGAGGTGCGGTTCCCATGCTACCTCCTTCCTGGGGCCCGCCTGTCCTCCTGCACAGCCACCCCCTCCAAGGTCCATCTCTCTGTGGTTTGCAAACTGCTTCTGTGGACTTGGGAGGGTCCAGCATGTCCCCAGAGGCTGCCTGTGTGGAGGGCAGGCGGACACAGGACTCCTGTCTGTCCCTACAGGGGGTCATCACGGAAGGCCCGGCTGAGTACTGAATCACCTACTTGCATTTCCTTGACAATGAGGGTGAGTCCACCTGACCTCCAGCTGCCATGCTGGCCCCCGAGATCTGGCCACGCCCTCTGGAGGAGTCCACACTCGGATGCAGGCGGACATGCCCAGGAACAGCACGGACTGTCGGCCAGGAAGTCACCGTGAGCTCAGCTCAGGGCCACGCACCTGGGCACAGCCTGGGCAGAATCCTCCTGGGGCAGCCCCAGTGGTCGTGCTGAGGTGCCAGGCTCCTGAGAGGATGCTGCTGCTCTGACAAGCTTGGCAGCCACAATGCAGAAGCCAACTCCTTTGCCACCCAGCAATGAAGAGACAGCAGCCGCCTGCGTTCCCACTGCAGCCGGGCTGCCATGAAGAGGACACCTCTAGAGGGATCTTTTCTTAATGGATGAAACTAGGGACGGCGTCAATATGCTGGATTTATTTCCTTATCTTCAGACTTCTCTCCAGCTCCAAGCTCCCCCATTGTCCTTGCACATCTGTGTACTCTGACTTTTTGCTGGAGCCCCAGGAACCGATTCCTGACAGCTGTGTGCCCCTCCCACTAACACAGGGGCGCCATTGAACCAAACGGCAGGTGCCCAGTGCTGGCCACAGGCACATCCACACCTTAAAGGAGACCTCTCTCTTCCAGGCCTTGTTAACAAACCTGCGTTCAATTACTGAGGAGAGTGTAGGCAGACCACACCTACTCACCACCCACATCTACTCACAACACACAGACACCACATACACCCATTCACCACACACATCTACTCACAAAACACGCTTGCCACACACATACTACACACACTCACATACCACACCCATTCACCACACAGACCTATTCACAACATACACACCACACAAACTACACACATTTACCACACCTACTCACAACACATATAGCACACACATACCACATACACCCATTCACCACACATCCACTCTCACACACATACACCACATACACTCACCATACACACTCATTCACCACACCCACAAAACACTCATCACACACACACTACTCAGTACACACATCCACTCATAAAATACCACACACCTACTCACCACACACATCCACTTACACACTCACCAAAAATACTCACACTCAACCACTCACACCTACCAACCCACTCACATACACAACCTCTCATCATACACATATATTCATAAACACAAAACCCACTCACCCCCATACCCTCTTACCACACCCCCCCAAATACACCCATTTACTACATATATGCCCACCACATACACAAACAACCCACTCACTCAACCCCATACTTTCTCACTACACACACCTAACCATCCACTCACATACACACTCACCACACCACCCGCCACACAGATACACACACCCACACACACACAAGCCCCACAGCTGGCAGTCAGAGTTTCTCAAAGGACACACATTTAAAGAACGTGGTCCCTGGTGGTGGGCTTGGTAGGTCAGCCCCTTCCCCACTCTCTCAAATATGTAGGGGCCTCACTGACCTGGGCTCAGCAGCTGAGCCCTCACGGCCTCCCACTCCAGCTCTCTGCTGTCCCAGCAGGCCGTGGAGACGACACAGCAGGGCAGGTGCTGGGGTAGGACGGACGGCGGACCAGGCAGCCAGGATGAGGGGAGGAAAATCCGAGTCGGGTTAAGGTGTGACTAGAGGTCGACCGCACTGGGCAGGGTCAGCCAGAATGATCTGCTCGAGTGTCTCAGCCGGGCTCCCAGCCCTGAGTTCCCCGCCACTCCCTCACTTTCCCTCCTCACAGCCTGTGACGGCAGGGTTGGCTGGGCCAGGTCCTCGCTCCCCACAGACGCAGCTCCTCAGCGTGGCAGGTCCCTGTGTCTGCGTCTCTTGCTAAGCAGCTCAAGGGTGCTCGCCTTCCCTGCAGAAGAGCGCTGAGTGGAGGCCCTGCAGAACCCTCCACAGCGCCTGCGTCACACGCACCTTGCCTGTTCTCCTGGGTCATGTTGCTCACGCCCCCATCCTCCGCCAGGCCCTGCTCCAGGTTGCTCAGGATCTGCAACATTTCACATAAGAACAGCACGTCACAAAGACGACTCTGCCTCCGCACCCACAGAGGCTTTTCCGCACGGGCCAACACCTCCCTCCAGGAGCACCCACGCTGCATGTGGGAGCAGACAGGGACTGGACTGCTCTCTGGCTGAGGTGGGATGCAGGCTCACAACTCAGAAAGCATCCCAGACCATGCCGAGGGAACGTGGGTGTTGTTTTCAGATTCTTTACTGTGGGGGAGGTGGCTCATTCCTGGTTGTCTGTAAGGGATGGGTCCTGGCAGGGCTGAAGCCGGGAACGCAATGTGTGTCTCCCACATGAGTGACAGCAATTCAGTCACCTGAGCCATCACCTGCTGCCTCCAGGGCTGGAGCTGGACTCAACGCAGGTGCTCCAGCATGGGACGTGGCTGTCGTAGCTGCTGGCTGAATGCCCACCCTGATTTTTCCAACAAAAGTACATTACCCCTCAGAGTGATCAACTCTGAACATCTGTGAAAATATCTGTCCTCCTCCTCCAGGGCAGGGCGGGGGGCTTGTAATGCGTCAGGTAAACCTGCACGCCCCCTAGTGCTTGGGGAATAACTTGTTTTTTGTTTTAAGTTGCGACTTTGTCTTGGTTTCGCTACTGAAACTGGGATACTGTATTTCTTTGCTTGCTTGCTTAAGATGGGGAACAGCTGGCTGGGAACACAAAGCACTCTTCCTCTTCACGGGTCCCAGGTGTCGCCCCCACAACTGCACCCGTAACAGAACCCAGCTGGGGTCAACCTGGAGGACCTGTCCTCTAAACACTTGTAAAGGCAGGAATTGACAGCAGAGTCCTTGTGCGGCAAAGTTAAGCCTCGGGTACAACAGAGGGCATCCAGGTGGCAGGAGGGGCACAAGGGACTCTGCAGAGTGGCAGTGGCTGGGTAGGGGTTTGGATTCGGTCCAAAGCCGTGAACACTTGGACAAAGAGAGGGAAGGCCCCTGCTTCTAAGAACAAAACCTCCAGAACAGAACAAAAGCTGGAGGCTGGGTCGCTGCTGCTCTCTGGGCCCCAGCACCACAGGCTGCCCCCACGCTGACATGCAGCAAAGTCTGCAGGGGACACACAGATCCCCACGCACCCCACTCATGGAGCAGACCCAGGTCCACGTGGTGTGGAACCAAGAGGGGATGGAGTGGCCGCCACCACGACTGGCAGAGGAGGAGGACTGGGCACTTCAGGGCAGGAGAGAAGCACCTGGGAACGAAGGAGTTTCCCACCACAGTGCTGCCAACGTGCAGACAGACAGGGAGGCACCGTCTCCAGCTGCGGCAGCACACGCAGAGGAAAGGAACCGGGACATCCATCTGCTCCCCATCTCTCTGTAGGCCCAGAGCCATGCCTTCATCTTCATCATTTGCTCTCTGGGCAGGAGCACAGGGAAGAGGCCAGGATGCCATCAGACCACAGCTCTCCCTCTGCGTGACATGGAGCCCAGGGATGGGGCTCAGCCCCAGTGGGAGGGAAGCCACCCAAGGCACCTGTCACAGATGTGAGTACATGCATGATGGATGCCGTTTTCTCAGCCTCTGTGGCGGCTTTTACTTTCAGTGTGCATTACTGGATGATGCCACTGGACAGGTCCCAGTGGATTCAGAAGTGCTCCCCAAGTGAGCTGAATGGATACGGTGCTCTTTACTGCTCTCCACATAGCTGTCTGGTTTCAGAAGGGACTGGGGCATTGGTTTGCAAAATGTTGTTTTGCAAACAACAACTCTCGACCCAAGGCTTGAATTATTTAGGAGATTCAGATAGTAAAGCAAAGTCTGAAGTTGTTCAGTCTGCAGAGGTGCTGGGGTTGCAATTTTCTCTCTGGCCCCTCCACCCTGGACGACGGGACCAGAGTCCAGATCTGAATCAGACGCGGCCAGCAGCTCTGGGTTTGCTTCCCAGGGAGTCAGTCCACGGGGCACAGGCCCGCTCCACACTGAAGATGCCCTGAAAAGGTCAGGCACATTCACCTGGGTGGTGAGCAAATCACACAGCAGGGACCCGGGAAACATGCTGCCTTCTCTACTTTATTTGGTCAAAAACCCATAGGTGAAGGTGCCTCCTTCAGCTCCATAGAACTAAAATGAAAGGATACTATGATCCAAGTGACACTCAAAGTGACCCAGCCGACTGGCTGAGGCTGACTTGCACATGTACAGTCTGTGTCCCCTGCCAGGATGTCAGTCCTATGGGGCCACAGCTGTCCTGCTCACCTCTGTCTTCCTGCACCTAGTGTCACAGACGCCCGAGGCTGAACAGCGAGGGTCCTGGGGCACGAGGCCCTGAGTGCTAAACCCAACTTCCTCACCCAGCGTCCCCTTCCTTCTCAGAGTGATGACAAGTTTTAAACAATGGATGCGGTAAGATTCTGCATTTTGGGTCTTCACACTAAGTTCTTTCTTATTCACCTATTTAGTTTGAAAGGCAGAGTGGAGAGAGTGAGAGTGAGAGCGAGTGCTCCTGCTACTGGCTCACCCGAATGCCCACAGCAGCCAGGCCTGGACCAGACAGAAGCCAGGAGACGGGAACACCACTGGGGTCTCCCACACTCTAGGTCCGAGTCGCTGCCTTCTGCCTGCTGGGTGTGCATCAACAGGCATGTGGCATCAGAGGCAGAGGCGGGACTGTGACTCAGGTCCTGTCAGGGGATGTGCGCACTCCAGGTCTCGACTGCTGTCCCGGAAGCCCGCCACAGAAATCCGCTTTGGAGACAGCGCCGGCAGGGAGGTTCTCAGGGCTCAAGTCCCACAGATCCACGAGGTACCAGGTTCTGCTAAGCCTGCACAAACACTCCTGCAGCAGCTGCCATGTGCTGGGCACGGGCCTGAGTGCTCTCCAGTGTCGGCTCCTGAATCCTGCACTGACCCCAGGACTAGGTCCTCTCCTCACCCTTCACACAGATGGGGAGACTGAGGCATGGGGCTCTGGCATTCACGCTGAGTGTATCCGTGCATCAAGTCCCTACACTGGTGCCCTCCCTGCTGGTGGCAGCTGAGGAGGACAAGGACAAAGCCTGGGGGCCGCTGGCTGGTGCCAGATGGGACCAGAGCTCTGTGGTGGCTCAGCACTGCCGCCAGCTAGGAGGACCTGGGGTTTACAGATGCGGGGAGTATGCAGGCTCTGGAGCGCAGGCAGCATTTGGCTTTATCTTCACAGCAACAGGCTGTGCAGGAGGCACTGTAGGGCAGCGGCTAAGACACAAGAACAGCAAAGACCCAGGTCGAGGTCAGGCTGGCTCCGGGCTCCCCTCCCCCTGAACCCCTGCTCCCTAGCTGTGTGCCTGAGCACACTCTTCTGTGCCCGCACTGCGGATTCTGCGCTGTGGTGAGAACGTGCTTGAAGACGCCGGTAAGCTTCACATCTATGACAGTGCATCACACAAGGAGAAACGATGAGAAATTAAAAGAAATTTCCACTGCCTCCAGCGTACTGTGTGGTTTCTCTTCCACCCGCGCCTGGGTATGTGCAACTTGGAGCAATGGCTTCGGTGCTGCGCCAGCTGTCCAACACCACATGGACTGTGGGAACCCTGGGATCGTGTGGTGGCCATGCAGCAAGGCAAGCGCTGGGACCCGAGCTGAGAGTACCTGCAGGCACTGCCCTGAGCTCTGGGACCAGAGAGTCTCACACCAAGGAGCTGAAACCAGCCTCAGGGCGGGCTGTGACAGGGCCCCCGCTCGTGCTCAAGGACAGCAGACCACGCTGACGAGCCACGTGCGGGGGTACAGAATTTGCCCGCATGGTCTGTGACCCTCTTCACGGTGGGGCCTCACGCCCACCCCCTGCACACGGACTAGACACAGCGACTCTTCTGTTGAGAAGGAGCAGGTGGGGGTGACCCTGTCTCCCCACCCCGCTCCCTGCAGGAGGATAGGCCCACTCCCACGGGGCAGACAACTCTGAGCAGCCATCCACAGCACAGGAGGGAAGAGGACTTATTCAAAATTAAAAACCTGGTTGTGTTTTGTCCAAGGAGAAAATTAGATGCCTTGAATGAATGTCCCAGCTGACCCCATATATAACCAGGAGTGTTTGCAGAAAATCTGTAACCTATTCAGGTCTAGAGAGACCAGCCCACGTTCTGGACTGTGTGCAGTTCCCGGGGCTGGGGGTTGTGTGGGAGGGGGCGGCAGGTGGTGGGATTGCACTCAACACCTCTGGTCTGGAGGAACCTGTGTCCATGTCCCTCTGGTGGCTGTCCCAGTGGCGGGGGTGGGGAGAGTAGGATAGGTCTGGGGGGAAGGGTGCACTCAGGCACACCAGCACACAGACCACTAGGAGGCTGGCACTCTTCAGTCCAGACTGGAGGTTACTGCCGGTCTGCCCAGCATGCCTTCTGGAAAGAGGCTTCCGAAGGGGACAGGCTTTCTGGAGCTGTTCCAGGCCACTCACAGAATTACTCAACACTTCTGCATCCCAGACACTGTGCTGAGTCACTGCCTGTGGCTCTGATCCACGCTCTCGGCAGCCCAGGGGGCGCGGGCGGTATCACCCATCACAGAAAGGAGGCTGGACGGCGCTCACAGTGCTCAGGGCAGGGCCTGGATGCTGCCGCCCGACTCCAGAGCCGACAACCACGGCCGCTGGGACAGCGTCTTCTAGGGCCTTCACACTCTGCAAAAATTCTCTCTTCCTCCCATCTCAATCGGAGATGGAGACAATACATAACACACAGCGCTAAGCAAGCGGCACTCAGGGACCTTCTCTTACATTGAGGACCCACGTTCCTGTGTGCCACCACGCATGCTTCAGGGCCAGACTTCTTGCTAAGACGCTGGCCTGCAGCTCACCGGGCACAGCAGGTTCCAGACTGGGCTGGAGCTGCTCAGAGGGACTGCAGATCGGATTTCCGCGGATGTCCACCGCGAGCCGAGCGAAGACCCAGATCTTGCAGCCCCAGACGACGAGGGATGTCAACAGCTTCTGTTTCCAGGCGCCAGTGGGGGAGAGGGTGTGCCAGGCATCAGTCAGGCCCCGGGGGTGGGAGACCCCGTGGCAAAGGACAGATCTGCGGCCTCAGGGGTGGAGGCAGGCACCTTCCAAGCAGTCTTCCCACTTCTCCTCACTTGTCAATCATTCCCTTGCTCTCTGAGGAAGCCACAGGCAACCTGTTCTCTGCTAGGGCAGCAGCAAAGTGGGGTGGGGGCGGCTGAGCGGCCTGGGCCAGGCGAGGCGCAGCAGCAGTGGCGTGGCCCCTGCGGTGGCCTCCCTGAGCAGCGGCTGTGAGAGGGCCACAGTGGCCGGGCTGCGGTTGCGTTGCTCATTTTGTTGACAAATGAAAACAGCAGAACTACACATGTCCATGCGTCAGAAATCCTCTGCAAAAAAGGCATTAACGCTTCCTAGAGACAGAGCTCTCACTACTACCTCGTTAGCAATCCTCAACAGAGAAGCGAACCACACTGATGGTGGCAGATGGAGTTCTCTTCCAGAAGCTACAACGGTGTCTCTTCTCCCATGTCCTGCAGCTGAGGGTGAGCCCCTGAAGTACTCTGGGTCACTGGATGCCCACAGCCATGCCAGCCTGAGGCCGGTGGAGGATGAGGGGCAGTGGAGGCTCAGGCTGCTGGGCACATCCATGCTAGTCTAGTGATGACCGGAACCTCACGCTGACTGGGCGTCATTGTTTATGGACCACATCTATTCATGCAACACTTCCAGCTCCGTGTCTGCTCGGCTCCTTCCCAGCTGGTGTGCACCACCGTCTTGGGGCCCGAGCTGGAGACCGCCCTGCAGGCCAGTGAGGAGGGCACAGGAAGCAGGCAGACAGGCCTCTGCTCCCCAACAGTGAGGGTCCTTAACTTCTCCAAGCCGCGGCAGCACAGGACACTGACTTCAAATTGGGCGTATTTTATTCTTCAGCGATACAATTCTATTTGAACCAAACCTTCACTAACTCACCACATGGTTCAAACAAAGCAGGTAAAACACACCCTGGACTACCCAGTGAAGATCTCAGGTGGTGTCCTGCTGAAGTTGGACCCCATCAAAGTTGACGCCATTGCCCTAACTGAAGAGCCACACTAACTTCTCTTTGCCGTTTGCTTCTCCTCACCCACCCGAGGAGTCCACAGCTCCCTGCGCCGGCCAGATCAATTTCTGGCAGACAGCAAGTACAGCAGAGTCATTGGATTTCTGGCACTGTCACAACGACATCAGCCACTGCTTACGAAGGCATCAGAGAGGATGTTGTACAGCAGGGAGGATGAAGGTCCAGGGCCTAATTCCACAGAGAGTTGCCAAGTTTGGACTGGCCCCACCTCCACCTTGCGGTAGGGGTCTGGGTGGTCTTGTACCTCTCTGAGGCTGGGCTTCTTTGTCTGGGAATTGGGGTAACAGCAGCACATCCCCAGCTGCTAAGCGCTAACCAAGGGAGGCAGTTAATGGGAAATCTTAGGCACAGACCCAGCACCATCATGGCTGCACAGTTGGTGCTGGACCACACAGAAGCCAGGTCAAGAGAGCTGGACTGCCCACAGTTCGGGGCGGGCGTGGTGAGTGCTCCAAACAGCACAGGAAGGGACACAGCAGGCAGGGGTTGCTCTTACGAAGATATCCTTGGTTTTAAAACCTTTCAGAGCTGTCTCTTTTGCAGTTAATGACAGAAAATCAGGTGTCCAATATTGGCTGGACCGGACTGAAGCCAGGAGCCAGGAACTCTGGTGGGGTCTCCCTCACAGATGGTAACCCGGCTATTTGGGCCATCTTCCACTGCTTTCCCAGGCACGTGAGCAGGGAGCTGGATAGGAAGTAGAGCAGCCGGGACTCGAACCGGCATTCATATTGGATGTCAGCACTGCAGGCGGCGGTTTCACCTGCTGTGCCACAGCGCCGGCCCCCTAATACAATGGTTTCTTGACTTTTACTCAGCAGTGGATTTATGGCAACTCTACCTGTAGTTTGCTAAGGAGTCTCCATACGGCTCAGTGCACTGGCTGCACTATAATTTACATTCCCACCAGCAGAGTGAGAGTTTCCCTCTCTCCACATCCTCTCTGACAGTTTTTCCTTTCTGTGCTGTTGATAACAGCCATCTCACTGGGGCGGTGTGACATCTCACTGTGGTTTTGATTTGCATTTCCCTGATGCCTAGTGATACTTAACATTTTTTTCATATATTTGTTGGCCACCTGGATTTCTTCTTTTTGTGTGGTTTTATTATTTTCAGATTTTGTACTCCTTGAGAGAACCGACTCCAGCATGAGCACAAACTTCCCATCTGTAATCCTGGATGACTACTCAGTGAGTGGCTGCAAACCAACCAGGACCCAGAGAAATACGCACTCACCTTCAGTGTCAAACACACCCAAGGCCAGCAGAGAGTGCACAGCAGGGCTCAGGGAATGTGGTTGCACCAACAACTCAATGGGCTCAGGCAGAGCTGCTCTGGCTGAGTTGGGGGCCTTAGACAAAGCTCTCCATACCCCTCCGTGCAGTATTGGTGTCCAGGCCAAACCAGCTTCAGTTAAACATCCACGAGCTCATGAGGGAAAGGATGCCCCACCTGTGTGCAGGTGCCAGGAGTGCCCTGACACACACGGGAGGCAGAGGGAGGTTAACAGGTATGTTTCTTCTCTTGCAGGGCTGAAGGTGAGGGGGTTCAAGGCTGACCGCATATCCTGCCCTGGGTCTCTCCCTTTCTTGTCTTTGGCCATCAGTTCCTCCATGATGTGGCCAGGTCTTCTTTGGGGGAGGGGCCAAATTTTAAGTCCACTCCTCTCATAAAAGAGTACATAAAATTACTGAAGGTGACCATGAAAATCCTGTATGGTGGAGACCAACGCACCACCTCTCCTAGGTACAATGGCTCATTTTTTCTTACAGATTAGAACAAAGGACGTTTCTGCAATGACGCACTACAAGAAACACTGGCTACGATTCGGGTCACGCCACAGAACAGTATGAGAGCTACCTGAGCCCGGCGACTTGTTCCCATTTGGAAAGCCAGCTGTTGCCCTCACTCACCGACAGGGGCCCCCGCACTGTTCAAGTTCTCATCCCCCAGAGTGAGGCAGCCTGGGCCCCTGTGTGACCCTTCTGGTTCTCCCACTCCTCTCCTGCTTGGCTGTCGGCTGCCTGCATCCGGTTCTGAGTCTCCGGGGGCCCAGTCCCACTGGCCAGTGAACCTGTCCCCAGGCATCAGGGGGGCACACCCTTCCATAAGGTCTTCCGAGTGGACGTCACTGCCCACCTGGCGGACGTCCCAGGGGTACTGCAGCGGGGAGGAGCAGGACTCCTCAGGGCTTCCTCTCTCCCCATAGGGCACAGAGCAGGACCGAGGCACAGGAGAGGTCAGAAGCAAGGGCCCTGACCATGCTACCCAGGGGGCCTGGTGCAGGACACAGGAAGTGCTTTAGGACCAGGAAGCTGGCCTCCAACTACTCCAACTGATGGACTTGTCCACCTCAAATCTCCCGACATAGCTTTCTCTCTCAAACACCAGGAGACATCTCCCGCAACATGAAAAAGAAGAGAATGAGAAAATCATCTCTGCCCAGTTCACATTCACCGAATGGAATTTCTCCACGTTACGTGCTTCCTACTTCTGAAATAAATTTTAACTGTGCTTTCAAGCATCACACTGTGAAAGAGTGGGTGACACAACTTTTGCACTGACTGGCCTAAGTGTAAGAAAGCAATCAGGGTGTTCTTTATGTCTTCTACGTCATGACACCAACGGTGAAGTGGTCGCAAAGTTAAGGGAACCGGGGCACCCGAGATGCCTGTCCACACTCAGGGCAGCTGCTCCTCGCTCCCCACTGGAAACACTGGCACCCCCGTCTGGATTCCATGAAACTCCCCTAAGAATAGCTGGGAAATCCAAGGAGACGTGTGACACTCGCAGTCGCCATCTTCCTGTGTGTGCGGCTGCCGCTCCTAACAGCTGCCTGCCACATTTCCTCCTCACTCTTCCATTCAGCCCACGCAAGACCACTGTGGAGAGGCGGGAAAGGCTGTGTCACCCCGGCCCACGGCGAGGATCTCGGGGTGCAGCTGCCCACAGCAGAGTGAGTCACACGCTTTTCCCCCAAGCCACCCAGTGTGGGGAGGCACAGCTCAGGCTCCCACTGACTCGTTCCTTCACAACCAAGAGGACTCCGAGCACCTGAGCCACCGCGCCTGGGAGCAGCCTCAGGTCAGATGACCACCGTGCGACACAGGACAGCCTGCTTGGATGCTGGGAGACTGCATAATCACCTCTCTCCTGCTGCTGCGGTGATCAGCCCGGCACAGAGCAGTGCTCTGAGTACTTACGGGATGCAGGAGCAGTCTAGCTCATGGCAGCACCTGGGCTGGCAGCCTGGGCGCCTGCTCATGTGTAGTTTCCAGGAAAGGAACTGTGCTTGCCATCCGCCAGTGGCACTCGAAGACTTGCCAGAGCAGTGAGCAGTGGCTCAAGCCCAGGGGTGCACCATGCCTCCTGGGGGCAGAGGCAATGCCGCGTCTTCGCCTGGGCCGGGAAGGGACCCAATGTGTGGTCCCCTGGGCGCCGTACCTTGCTGCAGACGGTCTTGACCCTGTGCAGCCTGTCCAGTGACTCCTGCGGGTTTCCCAGATACTGCTGAAGCTCCGCGTGTAAGATGCGCATCGAAAAGGGGACCATGGAGCCTAGAATCAAAACAAAGCTGGGTTAGCTTGTTTGGGGGAGGCATTGCAGACAGCCTGGTGGAAGCCAGGGCAGAATTCTTTTATTTCTTGGAGAAGTATTCAATGGCATCAGCTACAAAGCACCCCTTGGTTGTCTCTATAAAGGTGTGTCTAAGTACGGCAAGAGAATTTTCAGAGGAGACAGGTGCACATCACTGCCATTTGCAGTCACATCACATCAGGTAGAAGCCATCACAGGATGAACGCAACAGCAGATGACCCCTTCCAAGAGAAGCTGTAACAGAATTCTTGGTGTTCTGTTGAATTTCTTTGGTACAGCAAGCTCAAGCAGAAGGCTGCTCAGCTACGTCGGCTCCCCAGAACAGGACCTGAAGAAGGACTAGTTCCGGAAGAGATCCTGGGAAGCCAATGAGGGAGCTAGGGACCGAGACAGGGTGTGCCTCCCGTGAGGGCTGGGGGTTTCCATCAGGCCTGTCTCAGAGCCGTCCCAACCAGAGGCAAGGGGACCGGACCTGAACACTCCACTGGCCAGGGCTGCTCTGCTTCAGAGCGTGCCGAGTAGAAGGAACAAGCAGCAGGTGAGGGACAAACTCTGAGGAAGATTCGAATGTGGCTGCCTCATCTCTCAGAACAAGAGGATCCTGGGTCGGCACTATGGCACAGTGGGTTAAGTTTCAGACTGCGGCGCTGGCATCCTATACGGGCACCAGGTTCTAGTCTCGGCTGCACCTCTTCCAATCCAGCTCTCTGCTATGCCCTGGGAAAGCAGTAGAAATGGCCCAGGTGCTTGGTCCCTGTGCCCACGTGGGAGACCCAGAAGAAGCTCCTGGCTCCTGGCTTCATATCGGCACAGCTCTGGCCGTTGCGGCCATTTGGGGAGTGAATCAGCAGATGGGAGACCTCTATCTCTCTCTGTCTCTACCTCTCTAATTCTTCCAAATAAAATAAAATAAAATAAATCTTAAAAAAAAAAAAAGAATGTAGAAATACCAACAGTGGGCAATCATACAGTCTCAGTAAACAATTTTTCCAAAGGGCTTTGGCTGTTACTGTGCAGCTTTGGGGCGCTGGATCCTGTCCCGGTTACTCCTCTTCCAGTCCAGCTCTCTGCTGTGGCCCAGGAAGGCAGTGGAAGATGGTCCAGGTGCTTGGGCCCTGCACTCTGCCTTTCAAATACATACATACATTTTAACAAAAAAAGGAAACTTTTATGATTTCCCTTTGTCTCTGTTTCTCTCTGTTCTCTACCTTTCAAATACAATGAACATAAATAGGGGCCAGCGCTGTGGCGTGTGGTGCAGGAAAAGCACTTGATAAAATACAATACCGGATCATGAGAAAAACTCCCAAGAAACTAGGAATAGGGAGAACATTTCCACTTCATAAAGACATCTATAGAAGAACTGTAGCAAACAACACACTGATGAGAAACTGGACACTTTCCTCCTAGGAGCGTGAAGAAAGCAAGAAGTTCCTTCCACCACTTTTAGGAAACATCATATTAGAAGTCCCAGCAAATGCATTAAGTAAAGGAAACAAAAGGTATACAGATTAGGATTTTGTTTACAAATGATATGATTATGTATGTAGAAAATCCCAAAGAACAGATCAAAAAGCTAAACTATTACATGATTAAAGGATGCAGTATACAAAGTTAATAAGCAAAAGCCAACTGGTTTCCTACATACCTCAATCAACTGGAGTTTGAAATTAAAAATATAATATCACTTATGTCAGCACCAAAACAAATAAAATACATGGGCATAAATCTGACAAAATATGCCTAAGACCTATATGAACAAAGCTCTAAAATTCTGATAAACAAAATCAGCATAAATGGAAAGATATACCATGTTCATGGATAAAAAAGACTCAATACAGCTAAAAGCCCAGTTCTGTGCAGCTCTTCACAACTTGTTCTACAGATTTAATAAATGCTTATCAGAATCTCAGAAAGTTATTATGTGGACATCAACAAACTGATTCTAAAGTTTACATGAGCCAAAGGACTGAAATATACAACAAAATACTGAAGAGAACAAAGTTAAGGACTGACTTTGTCTGACTTTCAAGACACACTGTAGGGGCTGGCACTGTGGCATAGCGGGTAAAGCCACAGCCTGCAATGCCTGCATCCCATATGGTCACTGGTTTAAGTCCCGGTTGCTCCACTTCCGATCCAGCTCTCTGTTATGGCCTGGGAAAGCAGTAGAAGATGGTCCAAGTCCTTGGGCCCCTTCACCCATGTGGGAAACCTGGAAGAAGCTCCTGGCTCTTGGCTTTGGATTGGAGCAACTCTGGTCATTATGGCCATCTAGGGAGTGAACCAGTGGATGGAAGACCTCTCTCTCTGCCTCTTCTTCTCTCTCTCTATAATTCTTCCTAATAAATTAATAAATCTTCTTTTTTTAAAAAGACACACCAAAAAGCTACTATAACCAAGGCTCCTATACTATAATAAAGGCTGTATAATAAAGGGGCTGGGCTACAGATGAAAGAAAAATTAGATTAGTGGAAGACAACAGAGAGCCCAGAAATAGGCCCTCACAAATACAGCAAATCACCTTGACAAATAACAAAGGTAATTCAATGGAGAAAGTATACTTTTTCCAACTGGTTCTAGGACAACTGGACAATTACATGGAAAACAAATGGATCTGGACACAGGTCATACATCTTTTACAAAAATTAATTCAAAATGGCTAACAGACCTAAATGTATAATGTAAAACTATGTTCTATGTTCTAAAGTAGAACACAGAAAATCTAGGTGGTTTCAGTTTGGTGATAATTTTTTATTTGTTTTAATTTTTATTTATTTGAAAGGCAAAGAGACAGAGAATGATAGTAAGTAAGTGAGAGAGGGGCCAGCGCTGTGGCACAGTGGGTAAAACTGCCGCCTGCAGTGTCAGCATCCCAAATGGGCACCAGTTTGAGTCCTGGCTGCTCCACTTCCAATACAGCTCTCTGCTGTGGCCTGGGAAAGCAGTAGAAGATGGCCCAAGTCCTTGGGCCCCTGCACCCACGTGGGAGACCCAGAAGAATATCTTGGATCCTGGCTTTGGATTGATGCAGCTCTGGCCATTGCAGCCATCTGGGGAGTGAACCCATGGATGGAAGACCTCCCCCAACCCGCCTATCTGTAACTCTGCCTTTCAAATAAATAAATAAATCTTTAAAAAAAAATAAGTGAGAAAGAGGTACAGAGTGAGATAGTATGTGGGTGTGAGAGAGAGGGAGGAAGGAAGGGAAGCACAGAGGGAGGAAGAGAGAGAGAGAAAGAGAGAGAGAGAGAGAGAGAGAGAGAGAAGAGAGACTGACTTTCCATTTCCATTTGCTGGTTCACTCCTCAAATGCTTACATCTGGGGCTGGGCCAGGTTGAAGCAAGGAACCCAGAACCCAATGTGGGTCTCCCATATGGGTGGTAGGCAACCAAATACTTGAGCCATTATCTGCTACCTCCCAGGGCACACATCAGCAGGAAGCTGTAACTGGAAGTGAAGCCAGGACACAAACCCAGGCTCTTGGATAGAACTGGGGCTTCCTAAGCAGCTTTGTTTTTGTTTTTGTTTTTTTGACTGGCAGAGTTTAGACAGAGAGAGAGAGACAGAGAGAAAGGTCTTCCTTCCATTGATTCACCCTCTAAATGGCCACTACGGCTGGCACACTGCGCCTATCTGAAGCCAGGAGCCAGGTGCTTCCTCCTGGTCTCCCATGCGGGTGCAGGGCCCAAGCACCTGGGCCATCTTCCACTGCCTTCCTGGGCCACAGCAGAGAGCTGGACTGGAAGAGCAGCAACCGGGACAGGATCCGGCACCCCAACCAGGACTAGAACCCGGAGTGCCGGCGCCGCAGGCGGAGGATTAGCCAAGTGAGCTGTGGCGCCGGCCCCTGAGCAGCATCTTAATTGCTGTGTCAAAGACCTGCCCTGGTGATAACTTTTCAGAGACAACACCAAGACTACTTCCATCAAACAAAACAATTTCTAAGTTTGGACTTCATTAAAGTTAAAAACTTATCATCTGTGGAAGATATTATTAAGAGAATAAAGAGATAAGTCATAGGAAGAAAATGTTTGTAAAACAGCTATCTCCTAAAGGACTTCTGTCCAACAGATAAAAACTCCTAAAAACCAACAATAAGAAAACAAACAAAAAAATTAATAAGTAATCTGAAGAATTCCCACCCCATGAAGACATATAAATGACAAACAGGCATATGAAAAGATGCTCAACATAGTATGTCATTAGGGAATTGTATATGAAACGACAAGATACCAATAGATGCCAATACTATCACACACTTATTAAAGAAAATGGAGTACACCAAATTCTAGTGAAGATTGGACCAACAGGAACTCTCATTCATTGCTGATCAGACTGCAAAATGCATGAATGCTTTGGAAGACGCTAGGCAACACTAATGAAACTAAGTGCACTTTTACCAAAAGATCAAGAAATCAAGTGCCTAGGTATTTACCCGAAAGAGCTGAAAAACTATGTTCACACAAAAACTTTAACAAGAATGTTTACAGCAGCTTTATCCATAATTGCCTCAAACTGGGCACAACCAAGATGTTCCTCAACTGAAGAATAGATCAATAAGCTGTGGTCTAGCACACAACAGAATGTTTTGCTATGACAAGAGATGTACTCAACCGAAGACATGGAAGAAACACAGTGCATAATCCTAAGTGAAAGGTGCCAGTTTGGAGAGACTACATATAGTATGAACCCAACTGGATTGCCTAGTGGAAAAGGCAAAATTATGGGGACACTGAAAAGATCAGGAGTTATCAGGGTCAAGGTTAGTGAGTAGAGCACGGAGAATTTTTAGGGTAGTTAAACTATTCTGTGTGATGCTACAGTGGTGGATAGTCATCATGCATTTGTCAACACCAACAACGAGCCCTAAGGGAAACTGTGGGCTTTAGCAACAACGCACCACTATTGTTTCATCATTTGTGAGATGTGTGCTACACCAGAGCAAGATGTTAACAGATATTAATTAGATAATGGAGCTCTGTGGAGTATCTGCTCGATTTTTCTGTAAGTTAAAAAACAGAGAGAAAAGATAAACCCAACTGCATGCATACTGTAAAGACAGCATGTCCAAGGACTGGAAGGAAAATGAGATACATAGATGAGACCACATGGCACAATATAAAACTGGACCTATCTCTTTAAGGGAGTGGGAGTGGAGAAGGGCTGTGTTTTGGCAATCTGAAATTGGAACTTAAATATACTTTTCCTTATTGGAAATATTGTTAAATATATTGGCCAGCTATAACTGAAGAAGAAATATTAGTGCTCTATTCACGGTGCATTTAAGGGTTTTTTGGGCTGCAGTAAGGGTTTAACTAGACATAACCTAACTTCTATGAAAAGAACTTCCAAAGAATCAACTTCTTTGTACATAAACTTTCAGAATTCAACTGGCCAAAGTATGAGGTTTGTACAGTTAAACCACAGAAAGCAGATCTGAAGTTTGATGAAAATTACAAAAATATCATTTTACATGCAGTATGTATAACCTCAAAGTTCACAGCTTTGAATGAAATAAACCCGTATTTTTAGCTGAGAGATGAAAAACAGATTAAAAGAAAGTTACTTTAATTAACTGCATATGCAAGTTGGAAGAGGGAGACATCAAGCAATTTTTGAAAACAGTTTTAGATACAACCTGAGCTTAGAGCTAGTAGGAGAGTAGGTTCAACCTAAGCCCTTGCTCGTGCAACCAGCCTCGAGCAGCTGTGACCTTGTTACAGGTGCAGCATTGCAGACGCCACTCAGAGGCTCGGCACCAGCAGCTATGAAGAGCCTGAGTGCAGTGAGTGCCCACTGAAGACTGGGGAGCACCATTCCAGACCACGATGTCCCACTGAAGACTGGGGAGCCCCACTGCAGACCACGATGTCCCACTGAAGACTGGGGAGCCCACTCCAGACCACGATGTCCCACCAAAGACTGGGAGCCCCACTGCAGATCACCATGTCCCACTGAAGACTGGGAGCCCCACTGCAGACCACGATGTCCCACTGAAGACTGGGAGCCCCACTGCAGACCACGATGTCCCACTGAAGACTGGGGAGCCCACTCCAGACCACGACCTTAATGCTGTGGGGCTAACATTCCATAGCCCGAAGGAGATTAGGCAATGCCATTTAAGTCTTCATCTAAGTTTATCAGGACCCAGTTAAAGCATGCAGTCAGTGCTGTTTAAAAGCAATGCCAGTCCAGTGGCTACAACAAGAGCCCTCCACTGTATTGGTTTCCCTGGGACGTTCGTGCAGGAACCGGCCCCTCCTTTCGCTGGTGTTGGTTTCCCCCCGGAGAGGTTCCTTCTCAGGAGTTTGAAGGCACGAGGCAGGCACTTAAGGACAACACGGAGCACGGGAAAGGCGAGGAAGAAGTTCAGCCGAGAGCGCTGAGGACAGGCTGGGTCTCAGGGACCTGGCGGTGGGGCCGGCACAGGGGCTGACGCCCTGCGGCTGACGCTCCTTTCCAGCGCTCTCACGATCCCAGACGCGCCTCCAGGAGCTCCTGCAGCTTGGCTTTCCACAGGGAGAAATGACTTGTGAGCAAACGTGCCCATTTCTGCCTTGGATTTGCAGGACACGTTGTGTAAACCACACACAGGTGAAAATGAATGATGCTGCAACATTCTTCCAGAGTTACATCTTAACATGCTGGGAAAAAAGAACAAAACTCAGTGGGCTCCTTCCCCCCACAGGTGACGGCTGAGGACTTCACAGTCACTCGCGCCTCCAACCCCAGGGTGATCAGCTCCTCCTCTCACCTGGTCAGCCCTCCAGTGCCGGCAGAAAACCACAGCCGGCAGGGCCTGCGGGAGTTCCCCACAGGACGCAGGCCGGCGCTGCTCCCTCACCCTGTCCTCCGGGCCCTTACGCAAGTGGACATGCCCGTCACAGTTCACCCAAACCTGCCAACACAACCGCATCCGGCCCTTGGCAGCAGCTCCACGCCGACTCGGGGGGAGCTTCCCACAGCGCCCACAGTGTCCCTGAGACAGCAGGCAGCACACGCCTGCGGCCTCCCTGTGCCTCGAATCTGGAGCCTGCGTCCCCCAGGGCAGACACAAGCACGCAGACGGTGGTGACGAGGAGCCACGTCACCACCACCCGCGCTGTTCTCGGCAGGAGAGATCTTACACAGATTACAAATCTTCCATGAAAAGACTTACACAGCTTCATATGAAAGAGACAAATAGAGGGAATTAAATGAGTAGAAAAATATGTGGTTCACACACGTTCACACCGGAAATGGACACAGTGGGGGACGCTGTCCACTGCCTCCAGTCAAACTCACAGCGGTAACTCATGGACACTCGTTCTGTTTGCAGTGCCAGGCATGCAGCTCGGCACTGGGTACACCACAGGAGCGCTGCAGCCGCCGTCCTGGGGGGACCACGCCACCTCTGCAAGCACGCACGGCCAGAAACGGCTTTGATGTGGTTCAGACATTTGCCTATTTTAAAGCAGTGTGCATAAAAGTAATGCTGTAAGAATTCTCTCAGTCGGGCCCTGAAGAGCCAACACTGGGAATCTCAGCAAAATCCTTCATGCTAAGCGGAGCTGCCAAGTGAGATAAAATATGCAAGGCTTCCGCCCCAGCCCCGAGGCCTGTCTCTCTCCTGCAGGGAGAAAGCGCCGGTTAAAAAAAAGAAAAAGAGGCCAGTCACAATCTGTAAGGAAAAATTATTCCTCACGGATCTGTTTTTCTGGAAGATTCCCATGTATAGTCATGACCTGCCAAAATCTAGGTTGGTATAAATACTGTAGGAGCGTTCTCATCAATCATTTAGAAAACATTAAATGAAAATATTCCTACAAAATTTATTTTAGACAGTCCCCCGCAGTGCTGAAAATCCACACTGCCACCGCACAAGTCCAAAAGGCACGTGCCGGGAAGCAGCCCGTCCTGGAGCTGGGCCCTGAGAAATGAAAGGGAGCAGACAGGAGCTGCGCTCGCTTCTGGGGGTGCCGACGTGTCCGCAGCGAGGGGCAGGGGAACAGTCTTTCCGCTCCTCACCAGGCACTGCGACCTGGACCCTCCCTAGGGTGCTGCGTCATCTGCACACCAGGACAGGGAAACAGACATGGCCAGGCTGCTGGGAGGCCCGGGAGGGACACATGGCCGCTGGTGCCGCCCGGCGTGGTGAGCGCTGGCAGGATCCCACTGTGCCCTTGCCCAGGCACCGACTCTGACATCAGCCAGCTCCGAGGACACTCCTGAGTTATGAGGCCGCCGCTGACATTTCTGCTCTGAATTCCTCTCCCCTGACTTCAGCGGCGCCCAGGGGTCCATCCTGTTGCCGCTCAGTGTTGGGGACACTGCTTGGTGCACAAATGTGCCTGACCAAGACCACGGAGCCACGCTCACGGCCCTCAGCAACGTCACCTGCCAATGGGGGTGTATTCTGAGAAGAGCGCTGGTAGGATGTCGTGTGCACTGACACCATTCGCTATGACAACAACATGAGGTAAAGTATCTCGCGGGACAAATGTCACACGTGGACCATCACTGGCCAAAACACTGTTGTTTGGCACATGACTGCTGCGTGTCTGGGACAAGATGGGAACGCCGCATGTCACAGAGAAGGAACTGCGAGGCGAGGAGCAGGGAAAGGACTGACAGCCTCCTCCGAAGACGGAAGTGCCAGACGCATCCTGCGCAGCGCAAAGTGAGCTGCACACAGAACCAGGCGGCGGGCGTTCTCGTTAAGAGCTGGACTGACTTTGTCAGGGGAACGAAGCTGACGGTTGACGTCAGATGAACACTCACTTTGGAGCTATGGTGTCGGCTCATCTGTCGACACAAAAAGCTTCAGAACTTAGTCTGAGAACTAGAGATGAGAATCTATGAGGATTCAAGACACAATGATAATTCACCTTGACCGACGTGGTGGAAGGGACCGTGGATGGGAGGGAAGAGAGATTTAGCATTGAATTAGAGTCTCATCACTTCTAGCCTGACATGATGCTAGTTTACTCAAGGGGTAGTTTTGAAACAAGATTTCACATGCAATCATTACAGCACTGCCTTTCCTAAACATTGAAGGCCATCAAACACGGTTTACTTCTGGTGGAAAGACTGGGCCCTCATTTCCCCCGCTGTGTGGACAGTTGAGCGGTACTCTGAAAACTCCAGGCACTGGCACCGCCTAGGCCTACATGCTCCCTCTCATCGAGGTAGAGATCTGGAACCATCTAACTGGCCTACAAGAGGCTGAAATTAAGTATTCAGGACTGGAGTGGACTGATGAAAGCACTGGGATGGACATTCCATTTTCTCTGGAGGTAAGAATACAGCAAACACGTAGCACAGGCTTGCCTGCCGCCTGGGGCAGGGGAAAGTCTGACTCCGCCCTTTGCCAGGTGCTGTGAACTGGGCCCAAGTGTAGACTACGAACACTTGTTGATAATAATGTGTGAATACCAGTTCATCAATTGTAACAAATGCACTACCAATACAAGAGGTTAACTAAGAAATCCAATGAATGACAATGAATGAAGTAATAATGTCACCCATCCATGGATACAATCCCTGTCAACACTTCTCATGAAACAATGCCTTCTAGTATAATAATCACAAGGTCAAAAAAATTTAATAAAGTTATTGCAGACAAATAAAGACTGGCTCTCAAAAGGATTTTTAACACATATTTTAAAAAAAGATTTATTTATTTGAAAGGCGGAGTTACAGAGAGGGAGAGGCACAGGCACAGGCACAGGCAGAGAGAGAGAGATCTTTCATCCACTGGTTCACTCCCCAGATGGCTGCAATAGCTGGGGCTGGGCCAGGCTGAAGCCAAGAGCCAGAAGTTTCACCCAGGTCCCCCACGGGGGTGCAGGGGCCCAAGTACTTGGGCCATCCTCTGCTGCTTTCCTAATGAATTAGCAGGGAGAGATTGGATTGGGAGAGAGCAGCCGGGACTCCAACTGGCACCCACATGGGATGCTGGCACTGCAGGTGGTGGCTTTACCTACTGTGCCATTGCGTCAGTCTCTACAAGGTATCTTAAAGTGCTATAATGAACAGTAATTCCTAAGTTGTCAACATTAAAGACAAACAGATGAAACCAAAACCACTTGCTGTTAGGAAAAGGCTGGGGCCCATGAAGACCTGACACTTGCCTCCCTCCTCTCAGGGGGGTGGGACAGCGGGAGGCTGACAAGTGAGGCTGCACGCTCCCTGAGGACGCATGAGGCAGCAGTGCGCATGGACAGTGGAGATTTGTGGGGGGATCAGGTGCTGTCTACAGGGCCACAGACGCTCCTGAGAAATAGAGCCAACCAGCAGGTGGCCCCTGGCGGAGAGCACCTTCCACAGGCTACAGGTGCACATGAGGGAATCCGGATGTAGGCTGCCTCGGAAGCTCCAGGGAAGAGACGCATATCAGACACAACACAGGCTCCAATAAGGCACCTTCCAGAACTACTGCCATGCCCGGGGGGCAGTCTGGGCACCCATGCGTGCTCATCCAGCTAGAAGAATGTTCCAGAAAGCTGCCTGGCAGATGTCTCTCGTGTCTCCATGACACAGGCATGATTCATTTGCATTTATTATTCCTGCTATGCCTGCAGTACTGCGTGGAATCAACAAAATATTCCCAAAACGTTAAGGCTGCAAACAAAAAAGGTTATGTTGGTATTTTTAAATCAAAATACTTTTTCTTCAAGGTTGCAAGTACTTCCCAGAATGGGAAAAATATTTCAAACTATCTAACAGAAAAGGATTAAATACGTAGAGTATAGAAAGAGCCTCACAAATCAGTAACAGAAACACAAACTGACAGAAACATGGACAAAGCTTATGAAAGAGCAGGTCCCTGAAGAGGAAAGGCCAACGTCGGTGGACACGAAACTCAGCAGGAATCCAAAGACGAAAAGTGCCGAGAGGTGGGATTTCAGAGCCCCCAGGTGACCACCTGACAACACTACTGACACACGGGGAGCCGGGACTTGTCATGCACTGTTGTTCGAGTGGAAATTAGCACAGATGCTTCGGAGAGCAATTCAGCGGTTTCTTGTAAAACTAAAATGCAAATGCCACACAACCCAGCAATGCCATTTTAAATTCAGACTTCAGAGAAACTCTTGAACACATGCACCAAGAGAAATGGACAGAGATTCTTACAATATCATTGCTCCTAACAGCCCAAGGTCAGAAAGATCTGCATTGTTCAATTCATCCTTAAGGACACGGCGGGGTGAGTAACGCTAAGTGGAGAAAGGCGAGGGAAAGACAGACGTGCTGGAGGTACCCGTTCTGAAAGCACGTGAGACAGCTCTCTCTCCTTCTGTGTGCGTGTGCGGGGAGGCTTCTTCGTGCACACGTTGAGCGAAAATGGATTCCAGAGGGCCACACAGCAGACCTACGGCTGTGAACTGTGTGACGGGAGGCCGGGGACCAGCTTCACTGCATTTGCTGGTGATGGGCACTTCCAATGATTACAAAAAGGACTGAAGACAAGATGGAAAAATGCAAATATTTGCTAATTGAATACTTAATGTTTCTAGTTTTAAAAATTTCAATTTTTGTTGAGCGAAGAGTAGCTTTAACCATGGGTATCCCAAGAACAGGTTTCTCAAAAGAGACTGAAGAGGTAGATTAGAATTAAAGTAAATAGCTTTTACCAAAAAAGCTATTAAAATAATGAAACGTACACAGATGTGAGTGACAGGAAAACCACACATTTGGATCTGCACAACTTACTCCCTGCCGAGCGGTTGGCTGGTGGAGAGTCAGCTTGAGCACTAATTAGAAGTCACAGAGACAGACCTGTCTCCCCACGCCGCACATGGACAGACCTGTCTCCCACACCACACAGATGGACCTGTCTCCCCACCCGCACAGACGGACCTGTCTCTGCATGCCCCACATGGACAGACCTGTCTCCCCACACCACACATGGACAAACCTGTCTCCCACACCACACAGAGACGGACCTGTCTCCCCACACCGCACACAGACGGACCTGTCTCTGCATGCCCCACATGGACAGACCTGTCTCCCCACGCCACACATGGACAAACCTGTCTCCCACACCACACATGGACAAACCTGTCTCCCACACCACACAGAGACGGACCTGTCTCCCCACACCGCACACAGACGGACCTGTCTCTGCATGCCCCACATGGACAGACCTGTCTCCCCACGCCACACATGGACAAACCTGTCTCCCACACCACACAGACGGACCTGTCTCCCCACCCGCACAGACGGACCTGTCTCTGCATGCCCCACATGGACAAACCTGTCTCCCCACACCACACATGGACAAACCTGTCTCCCACACCACACAGAGGGACCTGTCTCCCCACCCGCACAGAGGGACCTGTCTCCCCACCCGCACAGAGGGACCTGTCTCCCCACGCCGCACACAGACGGACCTGTCTCCCCACCCGCACAGAGGGACCTGTCTCCCCACCCGCACACAGAGGGACCTGTCTCCCCACCCGCACACAGAGGGACCTGTCTCCCCACCTGCACACTGAGGGACCTGTCTCCCCACCTGCACACAGAGGGACCTGTCTCCCCACCCGCACAGACGGACCTGTTTCCCCACGCCCCACATAGACGGACCTGTCTCCCCATGCTGCAGAACCGCAGGGGGGAGGCGGGCGTCAGACACACCTACCTTCTCTTGCACCCTCCAGGCTGGGGACCCGCATCCCCGTACGGCAGAGAGGAGAAGTGCTAACAGTAAGCTTTCTGTCGGCTGCTTTTCTTGTTGTGACATATTCTGCGAGCAGGGCCAGCTCTGCTGCTCTGAACTTCCTGGAGCTGCGTGACGATTACAGACAGGGAGCCCGGGCAGCAGTTCAACTCTAATGTGCCGAGTCTGACCAAAATGACTCTGCATGGCTCTGCGTGTGTCCTGGGGGGACGCAGGGGACTTGCCGCCAACAGAAGACCAGACAGCCTGCTTACCGCCCCCAGCCACTGCTTTCTGCACACCCAGCTGGAACTTCCCAACCCGCGTGAAGTCTGGTAAGACGCAGGTGGCTTCTAACTCAACCTCTGCTCCTAGGCCTGGGGGTACAGCAAAAGCAGGGAAGAAATGACTGGTGGAGTGGAAAACGAGAACAGAGGAAAAACGAGGAAGGGAAAGAACAGAGGAGCACCCAGGTCAGAGAGTGCATTGGGCCCCGTGGCTCAGACTGGGAGCCAGAGAGCGCTGACGGCCGAGGAGAAGACAGTGCCGGGTCACGACGCACACACAGCTGTCCTCCGACCGGCCAACGCCACTAAAACTGCCAGCAACACGAGCAACACTATTCCACAGCACTGTTCTTTTCCTGGGTTCGAAAAACAAACAACTTTATGCCTTCTACACGATTCATTACGTGTCTTGTTATGGATGTTTTGAATGGGTAAAAATTATGCCAATATTTCAATGAAATATATTAAAGCTCATTCATAAGAGTTATTTGTTTGTATCATTATAACCTCCCTTTTAAAGCACATTTTAATGACTTGTTTTGCTTATATATGGCAAGCTAAAATGAAATGAATGAATCAAAATCTTCCATTTCTGCTGTTACACCACAAAATAAGAAGAAAAATGAGTGAACGCACAGTCTGCCCCATGGATGGATGTTAATACACTTTAGCTAAAATGCACGTAGGATTTATGTCTATTTCATAATTTAAATTAGCTGCTTAATGACGCACAGCTACTGTCTTCTCTTTATCCCTATCCCAGTGTAATGTAATTTCAGGCAGAATGAGAAACACGCTCTCCAGTCTGCACATCCTTGGGAAAGCGTCTCAGGCGCAGGGACAGGGCGGCAGGTAGCTCTCTGGGCCAGGAGCTGTGTTCCTCGGCCGTCTCCGCCTGTGGAGATGTCTGAGGCGTGTGCAGCACACCAGTGGGGAGCCAGGGGCTTTCACTGGGCCACGACAGGAAACACCTGCCTGTCAGTCTTACTCTCCGATGCCACCATAAACTCAGAAGCAGCTGGTGTACGAAACGTCATTCTGAATCTAGGGTCCACGGACCTCAGCAGGAAAGGAAACCAGGACATGTCACACTGCTACACACTTTAGTGTGCAGGTGGGGCCCCAACACAAGACGGGACTGGACTCCGTCAGAAATTTTGTTAGCAGCAGACAAAACACGTGAGAAAATCAGCTGCCAGCTCCCAGGTCCAGATGGTCCCACAGGGGTGGACGGGGCCTGTGCCTGTCGGGAGGAGAGAGGTGGGATGCAGAGGGGCTGGTGCAGCCAGGCACACTGGGAAGAAACTTGCTTTTACTCTTTTTAATGCTGCTTCTTCTAAGCAAACTGAAAACAGTCATGTTTTGACTCCCAGTGCTCCCAGGCATAACTGGTTACACGGGAACATTCTGGAACTTCCGCATTACAGAGGCACTGACCCTTCCACTGACTGCCTTTAGGTCAGACTCTCAGGAAGTCAGAGACCCCTGCTCTCTCAGCTGCCAGGTTGCTCACTGCCTTCTACCCAAAGGACAGACTCAAAGAAGGCGCAGACAAGTAAGGAACACGATGGACCAGGGACACTGGCTAATCTGCTAGCTAGAAAACCACCCCCAGGACAGACAGACACGGCTGCATGTCTCCAAACACGGGCGTGGCAGGGTCACGGAGGGCATCCCCAGGTGTGGACTGGATGACACAAGGCTCCGACCAGTGATGGCACTCACCACCTGCCGGGCAGCTTCCTGCCTGGAGTGCGGCAGAAGCAAAGTCCCACTCCCAACACAGGCCCAGGCCCAGCCACTCCTGGGATGAGGAATTCCCGGTTCCAGTGACGCTGCCAGGGTCCCTCTGAAGGGCTGCTGAGCCCCGTGAGCCTGGCCCTCCCAGCTGTAGGCAAGGCGGAGGGGGGGGTGCTCAGAGCACCGGCCTGCCCCTGGGCCTGGCTGCACTGCTTCTCCCCATGGTCCCGTGGAGCCTGGCGGGGTTGACAGGCCATGGTGTGTGCGTGCGTGTGCCTGCGTGTGTGCACAGGGAGGACAGCAGTCCGCGCTGTGGTGCTGCCAGCCTGCCTGCCTGAGCCTGCTGCTCACTCTGCCGCATCAGGACAAGCGCCTGCATCACGACTTCAGGTATTAAGGCTCATCTTTCCTGCAAGGGGTAAGTGCCCTCCGTCAGAAGGAAGAGACGGTTTTAACACACGCAAGGATGGTGGCTGAATGGGCCTCTCATCACACGAGGCAAAGTCTCCGATCTGGGTAACCAGGGTAGTGTAGACCAATTCCCACGGGCTGTGTCTTGTGAAAGTCACAGACGATGAACGCCAGTGAGGGAGAGCCAGGTACGCTGGTGCCTCTGTCCTTGCCTAACCCCTCCAATATAGGCAAATGTTCTAAGAAAAAACACAAAAGGAAGTTGAAGAAATGTTTTCGCTTCTAGCATTTTGAATTCACCTATATACCTGCTGCTATCAACAGGGATAAAAAAAATATTGCTTTAATTTTTTGAATCATCTACAATAGTTTACTTCAATACTAACCAGGTCTCTCTCTACACCTCCTGAGCTGTCCCACCTGCACCCCTATTCCAGGTCTACACCTCCTGTGCTGTCCCCACCTGCACCCCCTACTCCAGGTCTACACCTGTGCTGTCCCCACCTGCACGCCCTACTCCAGGTCTACACCTCCTGAGCTGTCCCCACCTGCACCCCCTACTCCAGGTCTACACCTGTGCTGTCCCCACCTCCACCCCCTACGCCAGGTCTACACCTCCTGAGCTGTCCCACCTGCACGCCCTACTCCAGGTCTACACCTGTGCTGTCCCCACCTGCACCCCCTACGCCAGGTCTACACCTGTGCTGTCCCCATCTGCACCTCTACCCCAGCCTGGCTCTACATTTTCTAACCACTGCCTCCGAGAAGAAATGCTGAGCCGCTGATTTCACAAAGACGAAGGTGCTGGAATCTAACAGGTACTGCTGACCAATCTGTAAAAGTAAGAAAAACCAAAATGCGGGAACAGCCCTGTGCCAGTGTGGTCCTGAGCAATTCTAAGCGACCTCCATGGAGGACACTTCATCCTCAGGCACCCCAGGAAGTGAGTGATCATCCTGTTCTCTGGGATGTGACACTGGGGCACAGGTTACGACCAACCTGTCCCAGTCTGCGAGGCTGGGTGAGGAGCCAGGCTGGACCCTGCTCCCAGGAACGGTGCCCACACTGCCTTACAGGGACATGACCCCAGGAGCCCTGTCCTTGTTGTAAACCAGGAGCCGTCTCTCGCGCACCCCTCCAGGGAGCGAGCTTGTCCACAGCCTGCGCTTCTCCTTCCTCAGCTCAGTCCTGAGCCTCCCTTTGCCAGGATCCGGACTTCCCCAAGCAGCAGTCGTGACTGCAATCCCTTATGGGTCATAACCAGACTTACAACAGGAACACACGTGGCGTGGTCCGTGTGGTGGGGACGGTGCTATGCTTGTACTTGTGCCGGGGCGTCTGGTCCTGACGTGAGGGTGCTTCGTCACCTGTGCCCAGCCCCACCCCAACCACCCTGCTCTGACAGGACGTCCCCCCCCACCCCCCGTCACTGCATTCACAGCCCTGCGTGGGGAGGCTTCGTGCCAGGCAACTTGTTCAAGTTTTCAGAATTAATTAAATAAGGAAAACTGCCGATACCCAATTATGTAAAAGTAAAGCAGAGCAGAACAAAAACATGCAAACGACAGCTAGTGAGCACCGCTGCTTACCCCTCCGTCCGGGATACACGTGGGGGTAGTACTCATAGTAAAGGTCTGGCTGATCCAGACTTCCAAAGGGCTCGAACTCCATCTCAGCGTTCTGGAAGAGGCCCAGCTTCACCAGCAGCGCCAGCCGCACAAACCAGAGCTGGGAACACAGAGGCGATGAAACAAGAAGTTATCTACACACGTCAAGTCCAGAAGTCCCCATGCCTTAGTAATCTGGCATCAGAGTCTGAATTTTAACATTTAAAACAAGGGCTAAACTGTTATCTTTGCACATTTGCAAAATTATATGTCTATAAGAATACACTTCAGTTTAATAATAACGAGGCAAATGACTCTGATTCAGTTTAACTCGACAACCCCCCGATGGGGCAGGTTCACAAATCACCATAGGTGCTGTTATGAAGATTCAAACACAGCCCTGCCCCGAGGAGAACGTCCCATTGAGGATGCACCTGAGACCTGCAGCAGGTCACAGGCGGATGGCGTGTGGAGGGTGGCCTTGAGGGATGAAGAATGCCTAGAGTCAAAGGCCAGGGACGGGTCTAGCACTAGGGAGTAGAAGGAATAAGCGCTCAATGTGGGCCGTCTGCGAGGCTTGTGCGCACAGGGCACTCCTGAGTGCACCCAACAAAGTGACAGAAGTGCAAACTAGAGAGCTGGAGGATTCTAGAAGTAAAATGTACCTTAGCAAAGAGCTCATGATCTCATTTCACCATCAAACATCATGTTGTGGGGACAGTGTTGTGGCACAGTGGTTTAAACTGCCACCTGTGACACCAGCATCCCATACGGGCACTGGTTTGAGTCCTGGCTGCTCTACTTCTGACCCAGCTCCGTGTTAATGTGCCTGGGTAGACAGCAGAGGATGTTTCAAGTGTTTGGGCCCCTGCACCCATATGGGAGACCTGGATGCTGGGCCAGTCCTGGCTTCAGACAGCTGTTGCAGCCATCTGGGGAGCGAACCAACAGGTGCACTCCTCTCTCTCTCTCTATTTGCCTTTCAGATAAGTCAGTCTTTAAAAAATCATGTTGTACACTATAAATACACACATTTTCAATTTGCCAATTAAAAAGTTACATGGAAAAAAGGAATTACTAGTTTAAAATAAAACTGAGGTTAGACAGCAGCATCGGGAGCCCAAGATCACACAGCCGGCAACAGAACGAAGGGATGGGTTTCAGGCCGAGCCCAGCGTCCAGCGTCCTCTCACAGCCTCCACATTCACGGCCGCAGGCTGGAGGGTTTGCACACCGCACAAAGGCTGCACTTGACTTGGTGGGCAGGCAGGTGCTCTGCATGGTTCTGAGCAGGAAGGTGAGACGACCCACACTGTGCTCAGGAGTGCTTGAGGGCTACTGACTGACTGACTGTGAATCCAGACCTGGAGCAGCTTCAGCAAAGGGAGCACAACACTCCCAGGGGGCCTGGACAGAGGTGGCGATGAGCTGAGAGGCGTGAAGGAAAGTAAGCTGTGATCTAGCACACCAAAGGGTGGAGAGACGAGGAGGCAGGGGCGCTCCTCTCCTCCGTCCTCCAGAGTGAGCTGGTGCATGCTCTCCCTTCCACACTGGTGCACTGGTTAAGATGTCCACGGCGATGCCCACACCCACATCAGAATGCCTGGCTACAGTCCAGGCGCCTCTCCCAGTTCCACCTGCCTGCGAACCTGCACCCTGCGAGGACACAGATGACAGCTCAGACAGTTAGATCTCTGCATCCCACATGGGAGGCCTGGATGGAAATCCCAGCTCCTGGCTTCAGCCTGGCCCAGCCCCAGCTGTTCTGGGCCTCTGGGGAGTGAATCAGCTAATGAGAGATCTATCCACATCTGTGTGTCTGTCTCTCACGCTGTTTCAAATAAAACAAATTAATAAAAACTTCAGCATCAAGGGGCTGGCAGTGAGGTGCAGTGGGTTAAGTCACTGCCTAAGATGCTGGCATCTCACATTAGAATGCTGGTTTGAGTCCCAGCAGCTTTACTTCCAATCCAACTCCCTGCTCAGGCACCTGGGAAAGCAGTGGAAGACAGCCCAAGTGCTTGGGCCCCTGCCATCCACACGGGAGACTAGGAGAAGTTTCTGGCTCCTGGCTTCAGCTGATCCCAACCCTGGCTGTTGCAGCCATTTGGGGAATGAACCAGTGGATGGAAGATCTCTCCTCTTCCTTATCCCTCCACTCAGTTGCTCTGCCTTTCAAATAAATCAATCTTTGGAAAAACAACAACAAAACAAACAAAAATATTCATGGGAAATTACAGAAACAATACCCAAGTTTCAAACTGCACTCCACCCTCAGTAGTGGGATAAAGCCCCACACCTTCCCCTCGCCTAGCCCAGCTTGGTTTTGTGCAGCCACCAGCGGCCCTGTGGCGTCAGATCCAGGTGCGGCAGCACAGTGCTTTGTTCAAGGCCCCTTACTTCACTGAGTCACGGTCATGGCCCCGCCGCACTGGAGGGGTGATGCTGGCCACGGGGATGTGCCAAGGAGATGCCACAGTGCTTTCTCTAAGCACAAAGGTACAGCTCCCAACTTGATAAGGGAAGGAAACCATTCTGTCTGAGGCTGCTAACATCTATGGAAAGGATAAATATTATATTCATGAAATTGTAAGGACGGAAAAAGAGGCCGGTGCGAGTTTTACCGTTGCACCTTGAATTACACTCAGCCACAGTGCACGGCAAGTACTTGCGATGGAAAGGCGTGAAATCTGTGCAAGCAGAGGGAAGAACAGAGCACGCCCAGGGTTCAGCACCAGCAGCAGTTTCAGGGGGACCAAAGGACGCAGTCCACTCTCGATGAGAGGGAGCGGAGGAGGCCCTCCCTGAAATAAGTGCACCCGCAGTCCCCGGTGACTCCCAGGGGTTCTTGGTGGCTGCGGAGCATCTGTGAGTGCTCAGTGCTGGATGAGTCCCACACGACTTGGGGTAGCAGTTAGCAAGCCCCCCAGGAAAGGTGAGAATTCAAGGATGCTTGCAGCTGTCCCCTTTTTGTGTGTGTGTGAACAAAAAGTTGCCTTTTGTTCACAACTCTGCTCTATTTTAAATTTCAGAACAAGTGACACTCTAGCAAGGAGAGCACACAGCGCATGGGGCCTCGCTCTGTGCAGACAGAACACCCTGATGCCACCATTTCTGCCAGGCCCAGAGGCCCCGGAGTCTGTAGAGTGGCTGTCGTTGCCATCACGAGAGGGGGCTCCCTGCCCACCTCAGCCCATGGCTGGGGTCTGCTGGGTGGCTGTGTGCCAAACACCCTGTGCTTGAACTGCTGAGATTCAGCGGGGTGGGGAGTCAAGTTCACGCTGGTGTCACACACACAATCATTAGGAAAGGAAGAGCTAGAGTTTGTTCTCAAATCGTTTTCACTGGCATGAAAAACCACGGTCCCCATATCTTCAAATTATGATAAGCCAAATAAAAATAAAGCAACTGCAAGGTGTTCCTACCTGCAGCGAATCTGTGGTATGACTGGTAGGCAGCCCGCTCTTGCCGTAGCCTTGGCCGTGGGCGGTGAGAAGGCGTCCGCACAGGTCAACTGCTGCCCTCCAGTTTTTGCAGCTCTGTAAGACACAACAGAAAATACACGAGCATAAAACATGGCCACTGCACACAGTCGGCATTTCCAGAAGCTGTTCCACGGAGCCGTCTGTATCCGTGCTGAGCCGGCTCGGCCGGTGGAGCAGAGGGGTGCGCTACGCATCAGGCTACACGTGTGACCAGGCACCCAGGGAGCCAAGTGTGGGCTACAGCTGGAAATGAGCAAATCATGAAAACACTTGAGTTCACACAAATGATACACAATCGACGAGACTGGTCTCCTTTTCAGCAAGACAAGGTTTCTGTCGATGCAAAATTGAAACTTCACTTTCATGCTCCGTGCTGCATATATTTATTTGTCTCTGTAAGATCTGCTTGCGACTGTAAAGTGAGTGGTTCTGCACGCTCAACACATGGCATCAACATGAACAAAAGGCACTGAACACAGGCTGGCCTGCGATGGCCCTGCAGGCTGTGACAGAGCCACAGAGAGGCTGGCTGGCCCTGACAGACTGGCTCACAAACTTGGACTCCTGCTTCTTTCTCCTCAACAGCAGAGAGGATGGCTACGAAGCAAACGCATGGGGAGGCAGCAGAGGGAGTACTTGAATCTTTTAGGGCCATTAGCAGGGAGCTGGATGGGGAGTGGAGCAGCCGAGACACAAACCAGCACCCACCCGGGATAATGGTGTCACAGGCAGTGGCCACGGTGCCAGCCTCTCGATAATTTCCTGTAAGTCTATCAGCAAGGACAACCCACCTCCTGATGGGAAAGCTGTTCCTTCCCGCTCTCTTGTGTGCGACTGTGCCGTGAGTGAACGCTCAGTGACAAGACAGTGAGCGAAGACATCGGCCTGGAGCTGGGAGCTGTCAGTCCCAGCTGTGGAGCTGACACGGGCCACCCCATCTTGCCAGCTGCAGGCAGCTCAGGCGCCTCCGCTCTTCCCAGCGGTGCCAAACAACCTTCCGCTGAGCGGGTGCCCACTCACCTACTGAGGGCACCTTGGCTGCCCCGTGTTTTTGACAACTATGAACGGAGCTGCTATAAACACCCACGGGCAAGCTTTTGTGTGGATGAGAGCACGCCCTACTCGGGTGAAATACACCGTGGAGCAATGCAATAGTGGCACTGCGGCATCGACTCGCATGTTCAGTCCTGTAAGAAACCGTCCAGCGTTTTCCCTTTATCTGAAGTGGCCACGCTACTTTGCATTCCCGCCAGCAACGTGTGAAAGCGCCTGTCGCTCTGCATCCTCGCCCGCATCTGGTGCTGTCAGTGCTCGGATCTTGGCTGCTCTGCTAGGGGTGCAGTGGCACCTCGCTGTCAGGACTTCTCAGCGTTTCCTCTCGCGCGTTTTCTGGAGACCTGCACCTGCCACAGCCTGACAGTGAGAACCAGCCTCCAGCCCGGCCTCAAGACGGCATAATACAACGTGATTTCTTCAGTATACCTTGTAGCTTCTTTCCCCTGCTGGTGACATGGAGCTGGCCACGTACATTATGCAGCCAGTCTGCCAACGGCTACGGCCGCCCCTGGGTTATGCACCATTTCCACACGGCAAGGGTCTGTGGCATGCTCACCAGCTGGGTCACAGCCTCTCCAGCATTCTGAGAACCACTGGCCAACCGGGAAAATGAAACCAGTGCCAGCCAATTTCCCCAACTGTCCCAGCCATGGCAGAAGGGCTTCAAGAAATACAGGATTTCCATGTTCTGGTTGACAGCTCAGAAGTATTTTTAGACCAGATAAGATAATTTACTAAAACTGTCTCCAAATGCCTTCTCTAGTCTAAATTCAGTGCAATAACCATTTTATGTAATGTAAGTGGCTATGCATACTCCCCTTGAATTGCAAATGGGACGAAGTGAGAGGGAAAGACAGCCTGCCAAGTGTGAGGCAGCCCCATGTGTGCCTCCAGGCAGCCCCCGTGACCAGGGCTGGTTAGCTGCAGCTCCCCTCTCTGGGCTCCTGGTCAAGCACACTGGCTTTTCCTGCTACACAGAGGCGAGGAAAGTCTTCCCCCGGGGAACGGCCTGCACAGGGACAGGAAAGCTAGCCCAGGGTGGGGAGAAGCTGAGGCCCTAGAGGAAGGAACAGCACTCCGAGAGCCTGAAGTGAGTGGTGGGAGCAGGAGGTGACATAGCGGGCATGAGAGGACATGCGGGTGACAGGTGCTCCGAGGCAGGGCTGGGAGGTGAGGACAAAGGGTGATGAGGGTCTGGGGGTGAGGCTGGGCCTCACTGGCCGGCACTGGTTTGCCAGCACACCTGCCAGTGGCACATTTGAAAGCACCAGGCCCCTTGCAGAGATGGGTGGGATGTAAGGGGCCCACGCAGATGTGAGTAAAGCAGTCAGGCCAGGCTGGCACTGGTAGTCTGTGCAGGGGGACAGGGGCTGGAGACAGTACAGGGCAGTGGTGGTAGCAGACTGCTGGGAACTGGGGGTCCTGGCAGGAGCGGGCTCCGTGGAGGCGGCATGAGGGAGAGCTACGTGGCCAGCAGGTTCTGAGACAGAGTGGACTGTGGCCCTGCTTACAGCTGGCCGGCTGGGGAGATGAAGTTGCATGGGAATGAAGCTTGCTGAAATGAGAAGTAGGAATCAGAGAGATGAGACTTTCTTGGGGACTCCAGGGAGTCTGAGGGTTACCATGATGTCACGGGAGGGAGAGAGATGACGCGGCCGCCAGGGGTGAGACTCTGTTTAGCCAAATGCCTAAGACTTGAGTGTGTAAGAAAGCAGTCGTGGACCTAGGTGGAGAAAGAAAGGGTCATCAATGGTGAGAACAAAGTCGGGGGAGGGGGCGGTGCAGCTTGGCCTGGGACAGCAGGAGGGCTGGGTGGGCAGCTGGAAGGAGGCAGAGACAGTGTAGAGGGAAGAAGGGAGAAGGCGGGGCGACCCGACAGCAGGGCCCCAGTGGGGCTGACAGGTGTCCCTGTGCAGGGGTCAGGATGTGGTCAGAGGACACTGCAGGCTGCATCCACCAAGGGCACAGCTTCTCAGACGTGAGTGAAAGACTGGCAAAGCAAGCACGCGTGGCATTTGGATAAGAGCATTTCCGAGACGAGGACCATGGCCACCGAGCTGGGAGAAGCAGGAGTGCGGAGAGGAGCTGATGCAAGGACGGAAAGCAGAGCCCCTGCCAGAAAGACCCCCAGCGGGCGGCAGAACAAACTGGCTGCTGGGACAGCTGTACAGAGCTTCACACGGGAACTGCTGATCCTGCTGGTGGAGCCTGTGGTGGCCAAGGCAGGTGTGGCCAAACACAGGCAGGCGAGAGGGAGGCGAGCAGCTCCAGAAGCTGAAGGCTTGGTCACACCAGAGGTGAGTCACTGCCTGGGTTACCACCGCCGTGAGATGCAGAACTCAGTGGTCCTTCGTCGTTAACAAACACAAAACGAGCACACACAACGCCGACCTCTGCTCCGGGCCTCTTCACTCTGAAGCCGGCACTGGACCTGCTGCACCGCAGGCTTCTCAAAGGCGTGGCTGGTATTCTGCTGCTCTTACTGTTTTGGGCCATGACATTACAAAATGAGTGTTGCTGTTGCCATCTCTGGAAATGAATAATCTAAAGTTTTATTTTTCCAGTGTTCTCATATACTTGGAGAGCAGAATGCCCGCATGTCAGGAATCACAGAATCAACCCACTGGAGGACAGCACGGACAGATGGGGCACACGTGCCAGCAGACAGCAGATCCCCCGCAGAGTACTCCGCTGGCGGGAACGCCGTGGCTGCCTCCACGTGTACACGGAAGATCCCAGGCACCCACACACCCACATCTACTCAGCACCGAGGAGGAAGCTCCCGCCTTGCCAGGCAGCAGGAGCACCAAGAAGGGCCTGCCGGGAGGATGCCCACAGAGAGAGGGTCTACAAGTGAGTGCTCTGAGACACATACATGCAGCACTACATGCACACAGCCGAGGGCGCGTCACGCTTGTGGACAAGAATTAAAAGGCTGGTTTAGTTTGGTGTAAACGAGTTTTCAAATCCACACATACAAGGGTCTCTCACACAGGTCATGAAACGTGAGTATTTTCAAAAAACTATGAATGGATTTCAAATTATTTTTTAAAAAAGAAAAATCAAGTGAGCTTTTGATTCCACTTTTCCAAGTTTTGGAAGTTTCCTCACCCAAGTACAGGGGGCTGGGTACAGGGACGAGAGCCTCGCTAGATGACCGGGAGGAAGGCAGGTGGACGGGAGAAGGGCAGCCCACACACAGGGCGCCACGAGGCTGAGCGTGGAGGAGGACAGCCTGTGACGAATGGTGGCTTCTGATGTGGGCAGTGCACAGAGAACGACGCTGCAGAGCTGGGCAGAATGGACACAGGGGTGGGGTAAGGAGGGGCTGGAGACAGATGTGCTGGGGCACGAGACGGGGCAGGATCCTGATGGCTGTCGGAGGACGGGGCGCCAAGGACTAACTCGGGGTGGAGTGCCTGCTGCCAGCTTCACACCTCCACGTGCATTTGGGTTACGAGACGAAGTGAGGTTTCTTCTGCAACTGGGGGCATAAGTGACTGGTGTGCAGTGACACTGCCAAGTGGGTGGCAATCTCAACACACTGACTGAACCTGCAGTCCCATGTGTAGATGGAAATGGAATTAAGTCACATGCAGAAAACTGTGTGCTGGAAACTAATCATATCCTTTGCAGCCATTCAAATTTATAATAAAGCATTTTGCATAACTTAAAAATATGTGAGGGAGTCCCCCTAGCTTTCTACCCAAATTCCTAAAGCCATTACCCGCTGCCTCCAAGACTGTGCATTTAGTGGGAAGGTGGAACTGGGAGCAGAGCCAGGATCAAACCTGAGTCCCAGGTAATCTTTCAGCTGCTTTGCCAAAAGCCTGCCCACCAGCAGCTCTTAAACACTTACTTTCACGCAGGTGAGCTGCCTAAGCTAACACCCCCTGGGTGGCACCCAGGCCCTGTCCACAGCACAGGAACCCCGAGGAAACAGTGAAGTGTGATGTAGAAAAGAAAGTTGGCCGGTGCCATGGCTCACTAGGCTAATC